TTCTTTTCTTTATCATTACTCTTTAAGACCTTACTTTGTTACAGTTCTTTAAATTCTTGCTTAAATCCTCTTTCCTTAGACTTGCTCTGTCCCATGTTTTCTCTTAGCTGTTCTTTAGCATAATTCCTCAATGTCTTTGCCCCTAGAGTTGCAGTGACTCTATAGCTTTCTTAAAGTCTTGGCCCTCAGATTGCTAGCAATTCCCCTTTAGCAATTCTCCTTCAGCAATTGTTTTCCCTTCAGCAATCTTTTCCCTTCAGCAATTCTTTCCTCTTCCAAAAACCTCCCACATCAAAAAGGCTTCCCCATCAGAAAGCCAATAACAAAAAGCCTCAAAACAGTGGCAAAAGCCTCAAAACAAAAGTCTCCTTTCTTCCTTCATGGAGTCTTCTATACCCAAATGTAAACAGGGCAGAGCAGTTGTTCTCAGGGAGGGGCATGATATTGTAACAAGAGAAACCTGTGTTCCTACCTCTCTGAACGTAAATAATTTAGGAGAAACAGCAGTTCTTATGCTGGGCTGTGCCCATCTAGGCCTACAGATGAAAGCAGTTGAGCTGCAACTTATCTTGCTTATGTGCAGTTCTCAGAGGCTTCTCATAATCCGCTGTCCACACTCTTTTACCAAATTATGGTAAGGGCCTGGTAATTTACTGGCACACATTTTGTGCCTCATATATTTCAGAACAACCAGTTCCATCCTACATACTTCAGTATGTATGGGGATGCCATGCACCCCAGATAAATCTGACCTGTACATAGCTAGGTCAGGGGCATCTCCATAAAATAAAGGAGATCCATTTCAAATGGGAAATAGGTTTGTGAGGGGCCTCAGATAAGTGAGTACCAAAGATCTGAGATTCTTCAAGCTGAGTTGGGAGTCACGCAGATCAGATCATAGTCTTGGAAAGCAGATTCTGTGGACAGGTACAGTGCAGCACTCCCAGGGCTCATCTCACTTAGTCCTACCAGTACCCTGTAAGTGTAGTCCTCTAAGCACTCCAACCTCCACAATCACACAAGGCATTCACTAGCCACAGCAAGGAGATGGGGGAATACTCTGGATTGGAGGTGGTGCTCAACTTCTGAAGAGCAGGTCTAGAACCTGCTGGGTGGTAGCATAATGTCTGTAGATGCACAGGAAGATAGAGATGAAAAGGGGATCCACAAAGATCAGGGAACATACCAGGTGGCCTACCAGCTTCTCCAGTATGCCTGCCTTGAGGTTCATAACCATGCTGGGTTCCTCCACAATGGGGGATGACTCACTTTCATCCTGAGTTGGGACCAAAAAGGGTCAGTTTAAACATGAAAACTGAAACAACCTGGTAATGTACTCATTGTCCTACACTTAAGTGAAAACCGCTTGAAAAAAATTAGCTACACACACACACACACACACACACACACACACTGGTGTTATCTGTGGGGGATCAGAGTGGTTGAGGTGACTTACCACTGCCTGCCCTGCCCTGCTCTGTGTCCTCTTTGAAGTCCTTTGGTAAAATTTCCAGAAGCATCTTGGTTGTGGGTTGGCCCAGTGTCTCTTGATATGGTCTATGCCTCCACTTCTGGGCTCTCTTGCAGCCAGAACCTCAACACAGAAGGAGATAGCAAGAGAGTGTTCTTATATCTACAGGGTATCCAGAGAAATGATCTGGCTACAGTTGGTTTGGAATGTGGGCATCTGGTCATCAGGGTTCAACATTCTATGGTCCATCATCCAGAAAGTGAGGGCTTCTCTGGTGGTACTCACAACTGAAACTTCCTCAGACAAGCCCTCCCCAAGGTCTAGTAGGATGTTGCACCTTCACCCCCAAGTCTAGGTCATAGGATAGGTTGACATAGTCTGACTCACAAAGCCCACCCCAGTGGTCTGGGTACCATCACTGTTTTAATATTGAGGACACAGAGCTGGGGTCAGAGATGGCACCTACATTAATTGAACCAGGTATGTGACTCTTACAGAGCATTAGGGATCTCAGAACCTTCCCAGTCTTCCTGATTGCTCCCTTGGGGATCATCCTAGCACTCAATTCCCAGGAAGTCATCAGTTTTTCATCATGTCTAGTACCTGTATTTCCTGTGACACTATCAGGCAGTTGATTCAGGTAGGTAATGCACTAAATGAGTGTTGGGAAATTCAGAAGAAGGGAAGCAATAAGAATGGAATATAGATTGGATGTGGTGTTTCACAACTATAATTTCAAAACTAGGGAGGATGAGGCTGGGAGTATCAAAGTTCATATCCAGACTGGGCTAGATAGCCATACATGGACTCTAAACAAAACCAGAGAACCCCAAGTTAACATAGACTTGAGTTCCATGATTTTATCTAGAGAAAAATCAAAAGTGTGCACACAGAGACAAATACATACAGACATGCAATGGCTTACATGAACACAAATTCATGTGCACACAGAGAGGCTTACACATTTGCAAACAGATGCAGATAAGTACAAATGCTGTCACAGAAGTTCACGTGCACATGTATGATTATACCCACACATAAATGCACACTGAGGCAAAAATACATGCAAACACATTCATCCTAATCCCAGGGTCTCCCTAAGGTGACCACAACTTCTCTTTTCCCTCTCAAACAGCTACCAGTTGCTAGTCATACACAGCCTCCCTTCCTGGAATTCCAACACCCATCGCTAACCTATCTACACAATACCTTGGTGTGGATCCTCCTTGTCCCACTCATAAAAGGACTCTGGGCAGCCATCTCATGACTCACCCTTGTTTCTGAGATCCTGGCACAGGTGACAAATGAGGTCATCTGTGTCTTGGCCGTGGGCACCAAGGAAAGGGAGGAGCTGGTAATGAGGCTGTGGTGGCGCTCATGTGTTCAAGGCCCCTGTGTCTCTTCTGTGCTTCTAGGGAAAGGGACAGCACGAACTGAAAACTGCTTGTGGAGACCAATCCTCTGAGGAACCAGCACCTTCAGGGAAAGGAAGTAGTGAGTGAACCCTGCAGTGACTGTGGTCATCCACTGAGTGCTGGATTAATTGTACATGTTTGTGTAACAACCACACGTGTGACAAAGATGCGTCACATGTTTGTAACTGGTCATTCCCTATCTCTGTCCACAGTGTAATTCAAACAGAAGTGCTGCTCAAAAATGAGGTGCCCTACCAATGCCTGGACTGCAGCTGGTCTCAGTGGGACATGAAGTGCAAGAAATACCTAGCACCTACCATCCACACCACCGTCAATCAGTTTGAAACCATGGTTTCATCTGTCATCACCACCTCCCTGGGAGACCAAAGCATGAAGGACTCAGATCAAGCCTAGGTGGTGGAACACTGGATTGAGTTGCCAGGGTATCCTGTAAGAGGCCTAGGAAAGAAGGCTACCACAATGAGATCAGCACAATCCTTTATGAGTCTCCAAAAGATTAAAAATCTCTCAGGTTGCTGGTAGCTAGGACTCACTTCAGGACAATTTCAGACACTTGGATCTCAAAGTCAGATTCATGGTTAATATTCAAATCAACTCTATTCAATAGTCTAGGGCTTACCTTAGTGCTGAACAGGACAACACATACAAGGAAACAAATTAACGGGAGTAAATGATACACGGTGTATTATTTACAATTTAAAAAATAAACATTACTTTGCTATAGTTACTTTCAGATACATATTGGCTAAATGCAATCTTTGAAGTAGAATCACCCAGGGTAGTTAGTTGTGCATTTCTCTTCAGGTACCCTAAATCAGTACTATCATATTAAAAACAAAAATACTTTGTTAATAGCATGACCTATTTTCTGAACACACAAGATATTTTCATTGGAAAATAACTGGAGAACAAAGAAATGCAAACAGCAAAAAATAAAACCCCAACATATTCCTTATTCCACATTCTATTTTTAATACTTTCTGTACTTCTGCTTCATTTTGTATATAAACATATACAATTAAAATGCAATCTGGGTGGGATGGTTCAAGTCACAGAGTGCCTGCCTAGCAAGTGCAAGGTCCTTAGTTCAAATCCTAGCCTGTAAAAGGACAAAACAAAACTACAATTTAGACAACTCTATGGGTATAATTGGATATCATTTTACCACTCATCATTACATTCTTTTAGAACATCACTTGACTGCTGTACCATACATTCCATAGATCTATAATTTATTTATAGTCCCCCACTGCACTGTAGGTGAATGAGTAGCACAGAATTAAGTAGGAGGCCTTTCTCCTTATTTTTGCTCCCACACAAGTGCTCTGCTCCAGAAGCCATCTCAGAGCCCTTTCACGGCAGATGGACCATAAACCCCACTGGGATATTCATTTTTGTGTGGTGCTGGATCACACGCAGGACCTCATGCATGCTGGGCAAGCACTCTACCACTGAGCTACATCCCTAAACCTTTCATCTATACTCTCCTAAATGTTTCCCACTTTTAAAGTTTCCAAAGTAATTGTTTCTCCTTGATAAATTAAGTTGAGAATTTTAAAAGCTCTAATGCAGTGGCACATGCTTATAATCCCAGCTACTGTGGATGAATAGATGAAAGGTTTGTGATTTGAGGTCAGCCCAAGCAAAAGTTAGTGAGACTGTATATCTAAAAACAAGTCAGGCATGGTGGATCAATCCTATAATCCCAAACACTTGGGATCATCTCCATCTGAGGCTAGTCCAGGCCAAAAGAAAGAAAAGGGGCTGTGGTGCGAGACTGGCTCTGCAGACCTGTCCGGGAGCCCCACCTCCGAGACCCTCTCAGCGCCTCCTGCTCCGGGCACTTGAAAGTGGTCCAGTTGCTGAGCTTAAGTTCATATTCTCTGCACTTGCTGCTAGCTCTGGAACCAATCTGTGGACTAGCTGCAGGTGGTTGCAGAGCTCCTGGGTACCAGCCTGTCATTGAGGACAATAACTTCACAGAGAACATCAAGACCACTCTTACCTGACGGTGAGAGCTGAGGGCAATCTCCCTGTCACTGGTGAGAAGCCTCAAGCCAGCCTTCTGAAGAAAGCCACCCTAGTTCAGCCCTATGGAGGTGACAGCAGCCTTGGTAAGACTTCAGACTGAATCCAAGTGTCCCATCTGTCTGGAAGAACTGACAGACCCCATCACCACTGAATGTGGACACAACTTCTGTCAGTCTTGCATTCAACGGTTCTGTGCCAATCTTCAGATCATGTTCCCCTGTCCTGTCTGTCGTCACCGATGTAAAGAGGGCCACACCAAGAGCAACACCCAGCTGGGAAGGATGATCGAAATGGTCAAGCAACTCCACATCAACTTAAGCAGCAGCCAGGAGACGCAGAAGGAAATACCCTTGTGTGAGAAGCACAATGAGGGCCTGACCCTTTTCTGTGAGGAGGATCTGGAGCTGCTGTGTCCTCTGTGCATTCAGCTTCCTGCCCATCAGCGCCACCATCCCAGGCTCATCAAAGAGGCTGCCTCGTATCACAGGGAAATGCTGTACAGTTACATGGAGTCTCTGAACAAGCAAGTGGAAGACACTGAGAGGTTATTAGTCGCCCAGGACAGAAAAAAATTACAACTGAGAAAGAAGATGAAAATCCAGAGTCAGAAACTATTCTCTCAGTTTGATTACATGAAACGGTTTGTAGAATGTGAGCAACAGGCAGTTCTGTCAAGATTAGTGAAAGAAGAGGGCCAAGTAGAGCAGAAGCTTGAAGCCAACAAGAGAGCATATGCAAGCCACATTTCCACCATGGAAGGTCTTCTAACAGAGATGGTGGAGAAGAGTGTGATGCCAGAAGTGAGACTGCTGACACATATCAAGAGCGTCTTTCACAAGGTTCAAAGTCTGAAGCCCCCAGCTGTCTTCTCATTCCAGCTAAAGAAAGAAGGGTGCAGGCTCCCTCCACAGTTTTCAGCTTTGCAGAAAATTCAACAGAAGTTTAGAAAAGATGTCACACTGGATCCTGAAACAGCACATCCTAATCTTCTCATCTCAGAGGATAAAAAATGCGTGACATTCCCGCAGAAAGAGCAAAGCCTTCATGGGAAACCAATGCCGTTCATGGGTTATCCAGCCGTTCTGGGTTCTGAGAGATTCAGTTCTGGCCGGCATTACTGGGAGGTCCAAGTGGATGACAAGCCTGAATGGATGGTGGGGGTTTGTAAGGACTTCCTTTCCAGGGAAGGAGCCTGGCCCCTGTCAGGACTGAACAGATGCTGGACAGTTCAGCTCCAGCATGGTGAGTATGTGGCTCAAGGCACGGTTCCTGTGACTCTTTGCTTAACAGAAAAGCCCAGAAGGATTGGCATTTACCTGGACTATGAATTGGATGAGATTTCCTTTTACAATTTGAATGACACATCTCACATCCATACTTTCATGGATACCTTTTTTGAAACACTGAAGCCTTATTTCTGTGTGGGATGTGATTCAAAGCCACTAACTATCTGTTCAGTAACAGACTCTGAAGGATGAACTGTGGCATTTCTTAATTTTTTTTCCTTTCTTTTATGGCCAGTAAGTAAACTTTTGTTCAAATGTCAGGGAATGAAGCCTCAGTTTTTTAGCTTGTTTTTGTTTTTTGGTTAGGCAAATGGCCTAGCTACTTTTCCAGCCTTTGACAGTTATGAAATCAAATGAGATGGTTTATATCCACAACCAACCATGTATATGGATGGGTTCTGCATTCACAGAATCAACCAAAGGGGATCAAAACTACTCCAAAGTCAAAGTTACATTGTTATGTGCTCTATAGTTGACCTAATATGGTCCTTGGAACCGGCTCCAAGGTGTCATGCCAGTGGGTGTCAGCACTGAGCACAGGCAGTGGAGTCACCTGTGAACAGAAGTATTCAGCCATATCAACAAACAAAGGAAGGTAACTTGAAAAGGTGACATTGTCACTGGTTGCTTTGACAGTATGCAGTGTTAGGTAATGGATTCTAAAAGATGGGCGATACTATGGTTTTTAGGGGAGAGGAATATAAAGTGTTACTACTTTCTGGGAAAAATTCCTGTTCCATTGATTTAAATTTAAATAGAGTTTTGGTTGTAATTCAGTGTCTTCCTTGAAGAATTTGCAAGGAATTTTCCTATTAGCCTTTGATTTCATGTCAAAATTAAAAATAGAAAAGGTTGAGAGTGGTTTAATAAATTATACTCTACTTCCATGATACACTGTGATGCTGAAAGATAAAGAGTACTGAATGTGTATGGACTTAATAGGATTATGCAAATGTTAACTGTTTCATGTCGATGAATTTATGGTTCAGTAATACTAAATCTGTGTTGAAGAACACATTAACTCTATATCTTGTAACTTTGTATGAATTTAAAAATATTATATGATACTTAAAAGTTTTACAGAAATAAAAAAAAAAAAACAAAAGAAAGAAAAGGGAGGGAGGAAGGGAAGGAGGGAGAGAGAGAGACATAGAGAGAGAGAAAGACTGAGGGGTGATAGAGAGAGAGAGAAAGAGAGAGGGAATAAGTGCAAGACCCCATCTCAAAAACAACATAAAAGCAAAAGAACCAGCGATGTGGCTCAAGTGAAGTGGTAGCATGCTTGCCTAGTTTGCACATGGCCCTGAGTACCAACCACAAAATAAGAAAAAAATAAGACAAAAGCTGTAATGGATCTTACACTACCTTGTTCTAAATTCTTATGCATAATTATTCTTATGCCTCTCATTTGTATATCTTCCCTTTATGTCTTTGAATGACACTAGCATTAACAGTTATAATCGGTATAAGCAACTCAGAAACATCTATTAAAATTTAAGTGCATATTACTTTAATATGCAGCAACTCCACTTTTTGCCACAAACCCAGGGGAAACACTTGAGCATCTATAAGAGACATCCTCAAGGATCATCACAATCATGAAAAGCTGGAAACAGTCATCAGTGGGACAGGGCCAACTGCACTGTGGTACAGCCATTTTCAGAAATCATACCAACAGTCATGACAAAGGAGGGGAAAGTCTACATGACCATAGGAGGTTGTGTCAAAGGAAACATATTTTACTATCTTAAAGTACACACATGCAAATGCACTGAATGCTTTTTCTATGAGGTGTGGGGTTAAAGAGAGTCAGACTTGAGAGGGGATTCAACTGTACTTGCAATGTGTGAATTTGCTAATAGCACATTACTTGATAATTTCAAATAAATGAAGTGAATATATAAAATGCTTAACAATATAAAGAAACAGATTAAATCCATGCAGGTCAAACCTTATCTGTGCAAAAAGTTCTCTTTTGCTAGTTGAATTTGTAGTATTTCACCCTTCCATTTCATTTGAAAATATTAAATAAAAATATTTTAAAGTATTTTTGCAGCACACACGTTTTCTAAATATTTAGTAACAGGAGAAATAGACTTGTTTATCACAAAGAGACACCTAAAAAGTAGAAGAATCAGCTCTGGTGATCCATTCCTGTAATCACAGCTACTCAGGAGGGGACAGCAAGAAATACTGTGGCTTATTGCACATGCAGGAAATCACATTGCTTGAAGAAGGATGATGTCTTTGAAGGACTTGCAGACAGACCAGTGAGGTGGAGTCCTCAAGAGGTGAGCCCCTGGGTTCCTGGATATGTGGCCATGGTGCAGGCCCAGGGCTAGCTGAGGGTCCATGCTCTCCTCCTCCTGCATGTGTGGTACCAGGTGCCAGGGACGAACAGGGCCCAAGTCCTGGAGTCTCAGGCTGCTGCCAGCATCCCGGGAACAGGGCAGGAGCATAAAGTACACTAGAAAATGGGATGAGTAAACACTTAACTTTGTTCACTCTGGTGCAACTGCAGCATGGCGGCTTATGGGGGCGGTAGGGGGCGCTGTGGAGTGGCGGCTCGAGAAGGGTGTAGCCTCAGCACAGACTCCACACCCACTCACAGAGTTGGTGTACTGTGTCTGCTCCACTGCCAGGCGTCACTTGCCTCACAAGCCAGCAGACTGAGAAGGTGGGGAAGGTGATCAACTTTGGGCGGTGGCCCTCCAGACACAGTGCAGCACAGCAGAAGCAAGGCTTGGGCCACCCAGGATGGCCCCTCCTCCTATCCATTGTGCATTCTCCTGTCCAGGGCAGTGCACAGGGCGGTGGGGGTCAGGTGTGCAGTGCATCTGGCTGCATGCAGCGGGGGTCAGGCTAGCAGTGCGTAAGGTCGGGGTCAGGTCCCAGACCCCAGGGGAAGCACAGCCATGGGCCACCTTGAAGCACCATGCATAGTGAGCTGGAGGTCCTGGTGCAGAAGCCACAGAGCTCCACCTTGAAACTCATGAACTCTGTGCTTCTGGGCATGATCAGGTGGAAGGCTTCACCCCGCGCCTTGGTGCCCTTGGCTGGTGACATGGGGACAGTGACTCACATCTTCTCCTCCTGCCCTGAAACTGCTGCCACTTCTTGCCGACATGGTCTGAGTCTCAATGTGCCCTGGCGAGGCTCCCCCTGCATTGCTGTCCTGGAGAGCAGCTCTGCGACCAGGGCCACTGTTTGTGCCTCTAGATGCTGTTTTGAGACCAGGTTTGTCACTGTGTTGCCCAGTGCTCCAAATACAGTACGATGATTTGGGTGGTTTTGATTAAAAGTAGAAACTGAGACCAACTGATACAGCATTGTTCAAAATGGTATTTATAATTCTATTTTTTAACAGCTTTTTGATATACTGAGCAAATTGACAGACAAAAAGCTTGATCTGGATTTGAGGTCATCAAATGTTCACTTAATCAAAAAATTCATACTGTATCTGCCTGAGTCACTGGGTCAGGTGCTGTTGGAAAGTCAATAATTTGAAGTCATCTCTTTCAATTGACATAATTGTGCTGTTCCAGTTCCTCTGGGTTATTAATGAATACATTAGAAGCCAGTCAATCAAATAGTAGTATTTGAAGAATGTATCCTTTGAGGCGGTTATGTTTTCATTTCTCCAAACGTTGTTAGAATTCTTTTGGAATTTCCTTGAGTGCACATGATCATTGTTTTGAATATCCTCAGTTTTGTTTCCTAATGAGTTAGTTTACAAAGTAATGAATTTGAAATTCAAAATTAAGTGTGTCTGCAAGTATTAAGAATACAAGCTTTTTGTCTGTCAATTTGCTCAGTATATCAAAAAGCTGTCAAAAAAAAGAATTATAAATACCATTTTGAACAATGCTGTATCACTGGGCCTCAGGAACAGTCACTTTTACCTGCCAATCTTTTTTTCTGCTTTGTAACAAAGCATAACCCAGGTAAATATAATCTTCATTGTCAGGGCTCTCAGACATTTTTATGCTGTGAAGCCCATCAACTGTTCCATTTTTTGTGTTAGCATCTACATATTTTTAAAGTGCAGGCTCTTTTTTGTGAAAAAAGAAAAGAAAATCTGAAAACCAGTGTTACAAAGCACTGTATAATCACATTGTTTATTCACATCTAGATTTCTCTTGCGTACTTGCATCAGACTGCATTCTTTTACTGTTCAAAGTGCTTTTCTTCCAGGACCATTCCTCTTGCCAAATTATATCACTAATCATTCCCACAACTATTTTGATTCATGGCTTTAAAATATTACTTCTTTGGTCAGAGATGTAGCTCAGTTGTAGACACTTGCCCAGTAGTGCAAAGTCCTGTGTTTAATCCTCAGCACAGAGGGGGAAAAAGTATGTGAGTGTATATATATATTCTTTATTATAATTTTTATTCTTTTCCAAGTTTGCTAAAATAATTACATATTACTCATAGAGAAGAAAAGTATTTCATCTTTTGTAATATCTTTGTCTGAAATCTCCTTTCTAGCTACAGGAGTTTTTTTTAAGACCCTGAAGTTTTACATCTGGCTAGCCTTACTCTATTTCTTTTTGTAGTGGTAATGAAATTTGAACTCAGGGCCTCATGCATGACAGTCAGGCACTCTAACTGCTTGAGCCACTCCACCAGCCTATACTATGTACATTCAGCACCCATCTCTTCCTTTCAAGTAATTAAGGTCTCTAAATTCCATCACTCCATCTCTATAAATAATTCAAAATACCCCTGCAGTGAGCTGCTTAAGACCCTCTGGGCTGTCTCTCCCTCTCCTAAGAGTAATTTCAGTAGAAAAATCAGAAACCACTTCCAAAAATGGTTTCTGCTCTAAGATTGTAATTCTTGTCCAACCAAAGTTCCTAATATCTAGTTATCCAGTTGCAAGGTTAAATTAGTTTCCTCTTATCTGTCAGAGCACCATAGACATTTGTCAATAAAACTTACTCTTTAAGACCAGATATCTTCCTTCTGGAAAAAACTTCAGTGGCTGAACATTTATTGACTATAGGCAATGAAAGTGCATTACAGTGAGGCAGCTTTCATGTGAGTGAGCAACAAATTGTAAGATTAATTAAAATCTGGATTTAATGGCACATATGTATAATGTCAGCATTTGGGCAGCTGAGGTAGGAGCCAGCCTGGGCTACTTAGCAAGATCATGTCTCAAAAAACCAAAAATAAGCTGGTGCATG